CTGAGATATTAACCGTGGGTGGGTGGGGGGTAGCTTTTATTTTCTTCTTCTTTTTTTTCTTCCTGATGTTTCTGTAGGAAGTGTATTTAATTCTAGCATCACACCCAAAGAATTTTTTTTCTATCAAATGTGTCAATAACTTAAATTAGCAATCTGCTGCTTAATAAGCAGGAATCAGTGCTCAGAATAGAAAATTTGAAGATAACTAATCTCTCTACCCAGAAGCTACCACAGGAAAAGGCCATTTTTAGAGCTAAAAATTGTTTACTTTTCTCTTTTCACTTTTCTGTTCTCATTAATTTAAAAACTGGCATTTGTAGGATTTTTGTTTAAATGGATTGAATTTCTCTGTCCTACTTCTTACCTTTGATAAATGTGTGTGCTTATTTTTCTTTTTTCCGTAAAGGGAAAAAAATAACCTGAGTTGCTTCTAAGTGGGAGGTGGCTTTGCTTTCTAGTGACCTCTCCAGGAGGTCAGCAGGGTGGGCTGGGGGCTTCTGGGGATTTGCTGGCCCCCAGTCAGGTTCACCGTCCCCATGGGCCACGGTGAGGAACAGCCTGCCCTCCTGGCCTGGGGGAAACCGTTTCCTCATCTGAAAAATGGGGTCAGTGATACATTTTTTAAAGAGCGATGAAAAACTGGGGGTGCGTGCGTAACTGTCGGCTTTTTCCAGTGCGGACCATCCCCCGCATTCGGAGGCTGCTGTGGAGGCTGGTCTGGCCGAGCCTGGCACTGAGGAACGAGGGCCCAGGGCCCTGGCTTGTGCCCCCGCCCCGCCGCTCCCTGGCTGCGACCTGGCGGAATCCCTCCTCTGCGCTGTTTCTACACCTGTAACACGAGGACCCTGTTCCATTCCTCAGGGACCTGTTAACTAAAGGTGAGTTAGGAGCAGGGCCCACCAGGGGTGGGTGGCACACAACAGCCGTGACATCTTCCTGCAGGTCCCGTGGTGCCCTCAGAGCCTAGGGACCGTCCGGGCCAGGCCCGGGCAAGCAGGCAGCCACACTGCCCCGTCGCTGTCAGCCTCCTCCGCAGGCTGAGGCCGGTCTGAGCCAGGGCCCCTGCCTCTCGCCGCAGGCTCTGCTTCCCTCCTCGGCCGTCTCAGGATAAAGGCTGGAGCCCACAGCAGGTCTTCCCATCAGGCTTTTATTATAAAGAAGGTTCCATTTAGAGCGTCCTGGTCACCCCCCGGGCCAGGCCCCGGGCTGGCTGGGTCTGCTCTGCGGCTCCGGTCGGCCAGAGGCCCACTTGCGAGGGGAACAGAAGGCGTGATTTTTCTCAGGGGGGCGGGGGGGGGGGGAGTTCTGTGCCAGAGCTGCCCATCCTCTGGAACAGTCATTTCCAGTGTTGCGTTGGGAGCCCCTCGGTGCCCTCCCAGGTCCTCTGCACAAGCGGCAGCTGTTCACAGTTGGTGCATATAAGTTTAATATAGAAAAGCTTTCTTAAAAAAACAAAGTGGTGCTATCTTTAGAAATACTCCCAGCAAGATCAAGTAGCCCAGCTACATCCTTGGTGCAACTTAGCCCCTCTGCCCCAGACCCGCTCGCCCAGCACCGGTCCCCTTGGCTCCCGCCCTCCTGGCTCAGGGAAAGCCCCAGGCGCTGCCCACGCCACCAGCAGCCACTTAAGCAACGAAAATCTGACACTGCTTGCAACTGTGTGGCCAGGGTCCTCTCTGGGTGAGGGGAGACTGGACACGTTTTGGTGGTTAAATCAGAAACCAAACACGGGCTGGTTCGAGGCGGCCTCCCCTCCGTCAGAAAGGCTGAGGTAGTGTTTCTGGCTGCGGCCTCTGGGCCAGGCGGTCTCTCATGTCTGTTTGTGTGCGGGACCGAGTCGGGCGGGGCCCTTAGCAGCTGGCTGTGACAGCGTGCGGGGCACCGTCCAGGCTGTGCTGTTGGGTGGTGGGAACCTTACCAGAGACGGGCTGTGTCATCCAAGTCCCCATCCCAGAGGCTGGGCCTGGGGACAAGTAGGAGGGGACAGAGGTGCCCCAGGGGCCAGGGCGGGGGGCTCCTCACTCCCCCTCTCCAGTGACTCTGCTCAGTCATGGCCCAGCCGGAGTCAGAGGCACTGGGGACCCTGTGAGGCCGAGGGCCGGGTGCCTGGCTCCTTCCCAACGGTCTCCGGCGGGTGCTCAGGCCTCGCTGTAGCACTCGTAGATGTTGTCCTCCATCAGAGCCACCACCTGCTCAAACTTGTGCTGCAGCTGGGTCCGCCGGGCGGTGGGGTTTGCCTCCAGGGCTGCCATGATCTGAGGGGAAGCAGAGGCGCCGTGGGGCTACAGGCCTGGGCCCCACTGGGTCCCCGGGCAGGTCTTTGCGGAGCACACCCTGCCTGGATTTCCACAGCTGCTGGCCCGCCCTAAAGCACACATGTCCTGGGATGTCAATGCTGGAGTGGGGACCCCTCTGGGGTGAGATGGGGAGGGGGCGCCGGGGCTGCAAGGGTCAGTCCTCACACCAGGGGCACCCACCTGCGGGCGGTACCTCTTGGCGTATTTATAAATCTCGGCCATGGCCACGTTGGTGTTGAACTCATTCTGGTACTTCTACAAGCAAAGAGAAGGCGGGAGTTGGGAAGGGTGGTTAACCTGTCAAACCTGGGCCCTGCCCTGCTGCTTGTACGCAAACCCCTCCCTGGATGGTCAAGTTCCAGACCCCCCACAGCCCTGCCGCACCCGCGACTCCTCGGCCAGGTGCGCGTTCATCTCCTGCTCGCTGAGTGGCGTCATGTCGTGGATCTGCTTGTAGTAGCGCTGCACGATTTTGCGGTACTCGGGGATCTCCTTGGCGTAGAGGAGCTTGTTGGTGGGTGAATCCTGGGTAGAGAGAGCGAGGGAATGAATAAGAGAAGGAAAGGATTTGTCTTTTTCCGGACGAGCCATGCTCCCCACTCCGCCAGCTTCAGACCAGGGGCTCCTCACCCCCTCCCTCTGCTGTCCTTTTACACCGAACCCCTGCCCTGCCTTCTGTGGGGCTGTCAGGGTGAGGACCTGAAAGGGGATCTACTTCTTTTAGGGGGAAAGGACACGGGCTTTGCGCCAGCTCTCGGTCGCTCAGCGGCGGTTTTGTTTACATCCTTGCCTCGGGTGATAGGTCTTGGTGGCTAAGATTTCTGGAAGCCTGATGGCTGGCTCAGTGGAACATTCCCCACCACATGTGTTCAACGCCCGAACGTGAAATGTGCCAAGTGCACTCCCAGTTCTTTGTCACGGGCATCCTGCCTTCCGAGAGAATGCAGAGAAGTGATGCGTTTACTATCTCTCGTGGCCTATCTCTGAAAGTCACGGGCAAAATGCAGGGCCATGAACCCTCCATCCTGCCGGCGAGGTCTGCTTACCAGTGGTTCTCAACCTTCCTAATGCCGCGACCCTTTACTACAGTTCCTCATGTTGTGACCCAACCATAAAATTATTTTCGTTGCTACTTCATAATGTAATGTTGCTACTGTTATGAATCATAATGTAAATATCTGATATGCAGGATGTATTTTTTCATTGTTACAAATTGAACATAATTAAAGCATAGTGATTAATCACAAAAACAATATGTAACTATATATGTGTTTTCCGATGGTCTTAGGCGACCCCTGTGAAAGGGTCGTTCGACCCCCAAAGGGTCGCGACCCACAGGTTGAGAACCGCTGGCTTACACCATCTCCTCAATGCTCACAGCAGCAAGCACTCTTGCACGCCACCCTGCTTGCCCATGCTGTTCCCTCTGCCAGGAACACCATTCTCTCTCCTCTCCCCGCAGAGATGCCTCAGGGGGCTCCCTCCTGCGTGTATCTCAGAGGTCTGGGTCATCTGTTGCCTCTGCCGACCCCTCCTCTGTGCCCACTCAGAGGGCTCGTGGCCATCGGGACTGCTGCCAGTAGCCTGGCTGATTCTCAGGTGATGCTGTGCTGGACCAAGCAGGTTTCCTACATTCGCTCTGTCTTCCGGGCCTGGCTCTATGGCCTGAATGTCGGGAGCTGATGCCGGGCCCACCTGCGGCAGGTGCCACTGGTCTTTAGTGATGCAGTTTCTGACTGTAGTTGCCGTGTCTAGGCGTCTCCTCCGGTCCGAATGTCCCTGTTCATCCCTGCGTCCCCCAGACCTGAGCTCCTGTAGTTCCCCTCCCAGAAAAACCTCCATCCCATCACTAGCACCCAGGCTGCCCCCGGGAGCAGCTGACCTTGCCCAGCTGAAGGTCAGAGATGGAGCAGGCGTCAATGAAGGCCTGTGCGATGACCGAGAGGCAGGCGTCGATATGGTCCGTCTTGTCGATGTCGAAGACAAACTGCGGGTTTTTCAGGATGTTCACCCAGAACCGGAGAGGAAGGCTGTGGGATGGGGGTAACAGAGGCAGTGTGAGCCCACCCCAAGGGTAGGGCAGCCAGGCCCAGAGGACAGGCTGGCTTTACCCCTCAAGGCTGGTGTAGCCTTCTCTCAAGATGGAACCTTTAGAGACCTGGGTTTGCTCACCCACAAATGGGGTTGATGGCCATTCCTGCTGACTGGGCTACGAGCAGCTAGGAGCCAGGGTTCCTGCATGGAGGGCAGGAGGCTGAGTCAGGAGCTGCAGGCCTGGCTGGGGTGGAGGGGCCGGAGTCCACCCTCACTGCCCTCCCCTCCCCCAGAGAGCCTCCAGCCAGGTCCTGGTTCTCATTAGAAGCACCCCCACCCCGCCTGGCAGCCCATGGCTCCTCCCTCAGCCTCTCACGGCAGCAGGAAGTCCCCGATTAGCAGCAGGCCAGGGCTGAAGGAGGGTGGAGCCTGGATCCTAGGCCTTGGCCTCAGGAGCCAGAGGGTTGGTAAAACCCCCCCCTCCCACCGCAGCACCTCCCAGTGACTCAGCAGCCAGGGCTTATGCACCCCCAGAGCTCTGAGGAGCCCCTGCAACTGCACAGAAACTTCGGGCCGGTGGCACTTTTTCTGAGGGTCAGCTGAGTTTTTTAACAACTTCTTGGGATCTGTGACCCCAAAAAGCTAAGACACGCCTCCAAAGAAGGGTATGGGAGTCATATCTCTGTGAGCCTCACTGTTCTCCTCTGTAAAGTGGAGCCGACAGTGCCTGCCCATGAAGAATGGAGGGAGGATGATGGTAAGGGCAACACTTACATAATGCTGGTTTCCCATTAATTCTTATAATTAAGGTGAATTACTTTTATTGCCCCTGTTTTACAGCTGGGGGGAACTTAAGGCACAGAGCGGTTAAGTCATTTACCCAAGATCACACAGCTGGGATGCGGCATAGTAGGGACTGAACCCAAGCAGGTGGACTGAGAGACCGGGCTCGGAACCCCCGCACTATTGCTGCCCCCAGGGACACATGGAGCTGCACAGCCCTCCCCACATACCCACCACCCACCTGTTGGTTTTCCAGATGTGCAGGGTGTCAGGATCTGAGATTCCCCTCTTCTCAGCCTGCTCCTCCAAGAAGTCGAAGAAGTACTTGACGGCCAGAGGGGGCTTGTCCTCACGAATGCTCAGAATGGCCTTGAACAGGTCATCCAGAAACTTCTGTAGTGTGCCCTGCAGGGGAGCAAGGTGGCTGCCATCAGCCCAGGACCACATGCAGAGGGTAAGTGGGACCCCGATGGCTCGGGGGAGACTGCGGTACTGGAACTGGTGAATGTGGAAGCCATGTGGCATCAAGCCGGTCACCTAACCTCTCTGGGTCTCGGTTTTCTCACCTGTGAAATGGGTTAGTGAAACCTACCTCATAGGGGTGCTGAAAAGTCTGGGGCATAGCGTGGGAAATCAGTGGAGCCAGGGTGTGGTATGTGGGGTGCGGACTGCCACCTAAGCCGTGTGACCCTGGGGACATCATTGACCCCTCTGCCCTCTCTGTTACACTGGCTCATTTCGAAGTTGTCAGTCAGACACTTTTCACAGCTCTGAGCAAAGGCAGGACCCTAAGCCCTGAGCCTCTCACCCTGGGAGCCCACAGAGGAAGAGCTCTCGCCCCACCCAAGCATGTGGACACAGCTGACCTTCCGAGGCGAGGTAGATGCGGCCGGGCCTACCTTGGTAGACAGCAGGCGGGTCAGGTAGATCTCTGGCAGCACCTTCTTGCGGTGGCTCTGCCGGTGGGACTTCTTGGGCTCTGCCAGCTCGTCTGTGGGCAGCACCTGGGAGGCCGGAGTGGTGGTCAGTGCCGGTGCCAGGCACCTCCTCCGCCGTCCCGGGGGGGGGGGGGGGTCCCATCCTTCTCCCAGAGGCACTTGGTTCCCTGCTGATTCTGGATCCCGTCTCCGCTCCCCACCCCCAGCCTTTCCCAGAGCCTGGGAGCATTCTCCCCAGAGGACCAAGGTGGCAGGAAGCCAAGTCCACACCCAGTGAGGGGCGGGAGCCCCAGGGCCAGGGGCCGGGCACTCACCAAATGGAAATACTTCTCCGTGTCCAAGTCTTTCACTGCGAGAGGAAAAACACACAATAAATAAACAAGAGAGGGGAGGGAGAGAGAATAGAAATGGAGAGGAAACCAAGAGAAAGGGTGAGTTCCCAAGAGACACACGAGACAGAGTGAGTCAGGGAGGAAAATGTGAAGAAAGAGATGAGAGAGATCCAGAAAGACACACAGAGAAAGAGACAGGGAGAAAGGCAGAGGCATTCAGAGAAAGGCATGCAGGTGAGAGGAGAAACGGAGGGCGATGGAGAGGAACAGGCGGGGTCACACAGGGAGAGGAGAGGCCCCAGGCAGGAGGGAGGCTGCCCTCACTCCCTCCCCCACCCGACCTCACAAGCTGCTGGGAGAGAACCAAGATCCTGCTCCCGACCTCAGAGGGAACCCTGAGACCCAGAAGCACGAGGCCTGGGGCGTCTGAGGGTGTGGACGGTGGGGTTTGAGGCAGAAACACAACCCAAAGCCTCGAGGGGCATGCCAGCCACCCCTCTGGCCTGGCAGCTGCCCAGACCCATCGGAACCACGTCCCGCCCGCCTGAGGCCTCTCCCTGGCTGCCCGCAGGAGGCCGGCTGAGAGGCCTGGTCACAGGCCCTGCCAAGCAGTCCTGGGTCAGAGGGGCCTGGCTTGGCCCCGGCCCCGACCAGGGAGGCCACAGCCCGGCCCAGCCTCGGGAAACCTCAGCTTCCCCACGGGGACTGCTCGGAAGGGGCCCGAGCCACCCTCCCGTGCCCAGCGGCACTACCTCGGCCCAGCGTGTTGTCCTTCTTGTCTGTGAGGCTCATGGCCAGCGAGGCACCTTCGGGGATCTGACAGGAGGGGAGAGGCTGAGGTCAGAGGTCAGGTTAGGGAGGCTGCGGGGGTGGGGCTGGGGGGGCTGGGAGCCCACCTTGTAGTGGGCCAGCGTGTTGAGCTTCTTGCGGCCATCCTCCACCACTGAGGTGTCGTCCAGGTCCCGGAGGATGTAGCTCTGAGTGCTCGAGGCGAACCACTCTGGAGGCAGGGAGCAGGGGGTCAGGGGGCAGGGGCAGGGCCAGCACCAGCCTGGCCACAAGGGGAGAGGCTGCTTGCTCTCTGTGAAACCTGGGGCGTGCCACGTTTCCCTCCGAGCCTCCTTTCCCCCCTCTGTAAACAGAGAGTGGGGAGAAAACTGGGGACCAGGGTGCGGGGAGGCCGGGGCCGTGCTCGATCCCCGGTAGGAGCACAGAGCAGGAGCTCTGGAAATGCCCGCATCCTCGGGGTTGTTACTGTTATTACTGCTGATGAAATAAAAAAAGGGACCCCCAGCCCTGGCTGGTGTGGCTCCAGTGGGAGTTGTCCCGTGCATCAGGCATTTGCCAGTTGGATTCCCGGTTAAGGGCACATGCCCGGGGTTGTGGGCTCGATCCCCAGTAGGGTGACACTTCATCTGACCATCTCCATGTCCCCAGTGCCAAAGTCTGTGCCCCTTTGCTGAGTGAAAGGCGTGTATGATGAAGGCAGGGGCTGGCTCCCACCAAAACAGCCCAACGCCAAGTGGTGCCGCCCCGCCCCTGCCCACCGAGGTCGACGTCCTCGGCGCGAGGCCACTGGGAGTAGGGCACGTTCTTGCAGAAGGCCTCCAGGATCTTCTCCTTCACCTGCGTCAGTGTGTCGGTGTCCATGGCTCGCACGCTCAGCGAGTCCATGCCGCAGCCCTGGAAGGACACGTTCAGGTTCTGCACGAGAGGAGGAAGGGAAGGTCAGTCGGTCCTCACCGTCCCTGCCCTGGGCCCAGGCAGGCGACAGCCTCCCAGAGGCCGGCCAAGATCGTAGCCCCCAGGCATGTAGGGACCCCTCCCAGCCAGTTCAGGAGATGGTCCGCCCTTGCTTCCCAGTTGCCCTTGCCCCACCGCACACCGGCTCACCCGGGGCTTGGCCTCAATGTTCTCCCGTAGCAGCCACTCCTCATTGAGCGTGTAGCGGGCCTTGCCTGTGATGGCATCGATGGAGCCCTTGTTGATCTGCTGCTTGATGGCGCACAGGAGCAGGAAGAACGGCTCCCCGACCGTCTCCTGGGGTGGACAGGGACCGTCAGGGGCTGAGGCCCAGACTTCCTGGCCCCCACTGCCTCCCTGCCTTCCCTCCATATTCCAACTCCCAGGCCTCCGGAGCACCTTCACTACCCACTTCCACCAACACCTTCACGGCTGCCTGTTTAATATCCTTTTGGATCCTGGCGCCGGTCCCCCAGCCCCCTGAGGTCTCCATGGACTCTAAGGTCCAACACCCATGGCTGCGGGCAGGCTCATTCATTCCATCATCCCAACAACCCTTCCAGATCTCCTCCTCACTGCCGCGGCTGAGAGAGCGAGTCACCAGCCCAGGATCCCCCAGCAGGAAGAGGCGGAGCTGGACTTGGCTGCTGGATTGGCTGACTCCCTCCCAAGGTGAGTTCGGGTGGAAGCAGAACAGACGTGGTCCCCACCTGAATCACAGCGCGGTGCGTGTGGAGGGTCCTGGGCTTCCCTGGACTCTCCTGCCCTCACGCCGCCCCCCCCCCCCCCCCCCTCCAGCCAGTCTCCCTGTCATAACGTTCACAGCCAGAAAGGGACTTGGCTGCTATCCACAGCAATGAGCTGATTTTCATGGTCATTTTATAGCAAGTGATCAGGTATTACACTGATGACAGATATTTAGGTAAAATGGTAAGCTGATTTAAGGACAAAATTAAGTACATAATAGTGTTAGACAGATTTGGCAAGATGATGAAGATAGCATGCCAACTCCTTTTTTTTTGTTACTCTTCACCCCAGGGTATTTTTTCCACTGATGTTTAGAGAAAGTGAAAGGGACAGAGAGGGGGGAGAGAGAAACATTGCTGTCATATCGATTGGTTGCCTTGGGAACTGAACCCGAAACCCTTTGCTGGGCGGGCCGGTGCTCTAACCACTGAGAACACCAGCTAGGGCAAGCATGCCCACTCTTAGTCCTGATCTAATTCTCCAGGCCTGGTGGTGGGAGCCACTGACGCCCCACTTTCTGGAGCAGAAAACAAAGGCTCAGAAGGGAAGCCACACAAAGAGGCCTTGGGAGCTGAGTCCAGAGTCCACTGCAGCCGCTATGGGCCCTGTGGCAGCCAGTGCAGACCAATGCCAAGACCAGTAACACTGGGAGAACCTCCAGGGGCTGTGTGATGGGCCCGTCCTAGGCCCAACCTCCTCTGCTCCATCCCCATTCCCCTTCCTACCACAGGGCTCCTCCAGGCTGCTGCCCTCACAAGCCCCAAACCCAGGGGCATGGCCCACACGACAGAGAGAGGGGGATTCCGTTTCCAAGGTTCACAGCTGGTTTGTGCCAAAGACTGGACTCGAACCCAGGACACCTGAGGCCCTGGTTCTGGGCTTCCATCAGCCCCTTGCCTTTCTCCTGTGATCCCCAGATGACTTCCTAGCCTTGGAAGAAAAGCCCTAATTTAGGGGTCCCTTTGGCAGAATGCAGGAGGGCCTGACCACCTGGCCTCACTGGACTTCCCAGCCTTTTCTCGTCAGAAAGACTCACCCGCCTTCCTTCAGTTCCTTTCAGAAACAGTCCCTGCTCCTGGCTTTGCCCACGCTGTCACCAAAACCTGGGACAGCCTCCCCACCCAGTTCGTTACCTGGCTCATTCCTACTCCAGCCCTCACTCAGGCCCCTCCTGGAGCCCTCCAGCCCGGTCAGAAGCCTCAGTGGCGGAGCTTTGCTGAATTTAATTTGTTTCCACATCTCTCTCCCCTAACGCTGGGAGTGCTCCCGTGGCTGCGAGGGTTTGATGACTGAGGACAAACTCCCTGATGTGGCGTCCGTTCTGCCCCGGCAGGCTCTGAGCCTCGCAGGGAGCCAGGCCTCCGCTGAGCCTCTGTCCCCGTCTGTATAATGGATCCTCTGGGCCTGTCCCTGCCCTCCTCTGAGTCCCTCTCTCCTCTGCACACAGGATGGGATAACTCTCCTGGAAGAGTTGGCGGAAGGATGAACAGAGTCCAGTCTACCGCGGGAAGACTGGGAGACGGTGTTCCCTGCCGTATCGGTGGCGCCTTCACGCCTGCCTCACCCTCAGACAGCTGTACATGCAGATGGACATCCAGTTGGTGAGCATCTTCTCCACCACGGACTCCGTGCGCCGCAGCATGAGCTTGGGGTTCTTGGCGGCGGAGGCGTCGATGAGGTCCACCAGCAGCTCCTTCATGATGCTGGTGTAGTACTCGAGCTTGCTGTGCAGCGCGATGGTCAGCAGGGAGGCCAGGCTGCACCTGTGGGTGGGCATGGGCATCAGCGGCCTTATCACTGATGTGCCTGGGCGGGTGGAATCCAGGCCCGGGAAGGGGAGGAATGTGGGGTCTCAGAACCCCCAGTATCTCGCCTTGATGTTGGAGGCCAGCTAGCTGCCCAGAGGACATGGTGATTTGCAAACTTCCCGAGCCCAGGGTCCAGCCAGGCCGACCCAGGACCAGTGGGACCTCAGACACAGCCCCACCCCCAGAGCCTCACAGCCTCACCTGTCCCGCACTGCGAAGTCCTTCTGCTGCTCTAGGGCGTGGACAAAGACGATGAGGAAGTGCTTGTTGTTGAGCAGCGAGGAGAACAGGCTGATCCCCTCTTCCATGTTGGGCCGGCAGCTCTCGGGGATCTGCAGAAGCAATCGGAGAGGGGACCAGTGCCTCTGCCTGGCTGAGGGGTCAGCACTTATAACTCCCCGAATGGCTCCTTGAATGCCTCCTGGGCTGGGGAGCTCATTACCTTTTCATGGTGGATGCCTCCTAACTCCCCATGACTGGGAACAATGGCTCAGCTGGATTGAAAAGTGGGGCACAAAGGAGGACAGGAGTGCCCAGAGGTAACCCAGCAGCCCCATGAGGGACCCTCTCAACTGTCCTCTAAGGCGCAGGCAGAGTGGGATGTCTAGGGAGGCCCAGTCCGCTCCCCTCTCCACCTGGCCTGGGGTCAACACTTATAACACCCTGAGGGGTTGCTTCAATGCCTCCTGGGACGAAGCACTCACTACCTTCCAATGGCACCCGCCCACACACACACCCCCCCCCGCTCCCCTGTGATTTGGATCAATGGACCCGATGAGCTGGAAAGTGGAGCCTGACAGGGACTGGGTGGCCGAGGTGACCCAGTGTGTGTGAGCGGGGGTCGAGGGTACTCACCTTCCACTCTCCCAGCAGTGGGTGTGTCTCTTGCACCGGGGAGCTGCCCTGGGAGTTGAGGGTCTGGGAGGGCAGTATGTAACGCTCTTCATAGAGGGAGGAACACTGTGGAGGCAGACCCAGCACCTCAGCAGGGCTAGACTCCCCTGACTGGCATGCAGGGACGCTCAACAAAGGCAAAGGGACACTTTACAGAGAAAGACAAGGCAATGGGCCTCGACCACGGAGTCACAGGATTCCAGAGGAGTGGGGAGGGGTGTCCCCGGGGGCTTCCTGGAGGAAAAAGAGTGGAACCAGCATGCGCCAAGCTGTAGCAGTGCAAGAGGGCACAAGGCTTAAAACAAAAGCAGCTGAGTGTGGAATAAGGGAAACTGAGGCAGAGAAGCTGCTGCATGGTGTGACCAGGGCAAGAGGAGGGCATTGGCCATCAGCACAAATGCTCTGGGCGGGACAGGGCAGTAGCCAGGAACAGAAAGGCATGGAAGGGGTGGGCAGAGTCCAGGGGGCAGGAAGAGGGTAGGTGGAGACCAAGAGAAGCCTGGCTGGAAGGGGCCCCGATATGAGAGGCTAGCAGGACACATGATGCTTGGGCCACCTCTGCTCACCCCCCGCCCCCCTCGTCTCCCCAGTGAGGGGAGAGGCAGGCCTAGCACCCTAGGAGGAGAGTGGGGCTGGCAGCCAGCTTCTATATGGACAGTTAAACATTAAGTGAATAATGAAGGAAAGCAGGGGTGGAACCTGGGCCCCTCCCGGCAGGCCCTGTGGATCTGCACGGCTCACGGGGCCCACGCTGCACTAGCCCAGTTTCCCCACGTGCATAAAAGTGCCCTCGAGCGGCACAGCCTCGAGCCCCCGAGGTGGCGGCCGAGGGCACCGGCTGACCTTAGGGAAGAAAGTGCGGGTCACAAAGTGCTTGTACTCCAGGAACGGGATGCCCTGGCTGCGGTTGAGCTCCTTGGTCAGATCCGTCATGTCCGTCTGCAGCTCGGCAAAGCCTGGTGGCAGGAAGGTCGCGGTGAGTGGATCTCCAACCCATTCCCCAGCTGGGAAAGCCGAGGCCCGTGGTCCTGCACGGTCCCCACCCCCTACCTTTACGGATTTCCTCTCGGATCTGCGACTCCATCTCCTCCATCTGCAGCAGGGTCTTCTGCCAGTAGCGCTCAGCGCGGCGGCTCTTGGTGCAGAAGACAAACAGGGCTGCGGGCATTGGAGAGGGGATCAGGCCTGGAAAGCCCTTTGGGAAGCTTGTGTGGGCACCTGCTGTGCGCAGGGCCTGGAGGGAGAGGTCCGGCCTCAGCGCCACCTCCTCGGGGACAGGTGTGGCAAGGCGGCCCCGGCCTCCCCTCCCCAGTGGGCAAAGGGTTTGGAGAAACCAGTAAAATAAGGCTCAGTGACCCATTCTTATAAAAAGGAGTGTGTATGTGAAACAGTGGTAAGCAGTGGCTTTCCCTAAGGATAGATTACATGTGAGAAATATGGGTGCTTTGTGTGTTTTTAGCATTTTCAATTCTTTCTACAAGGACCAAGTGTTACTTGTGAATTGAGAAACTTTTAAAAGCAGATTACAAAGCAGTATTATATTATAATCCCTTTTCTAAGTTGGGAGAAGGGATATATATATATATGTATTAAAATATTTTATATTGTTATATATATTTGTACATATTATAAATATTATATAAAACTTTAAGAGACTGACAGGAAACATACCAAAATATACAGGGTGATAACGATGGGAGTGTGTGTTTTTTTGATTCACTGATTCCCTAAAATTTTCTACATTGAATATTTTTAAAAAACAGCTTTGTTAAGATATGAATGATGCACATGCCATGTGATCCATCCATCCATTTAAAGAAGACAATCCTAATGGCTTTCAGTTGTGCATCCATCACCTGGGATCCTACAGCACGTGGTCTTCTGTGAGTGGCTTTTCATTTAGCATCATGTTGTCAAGGTTCAGCCCCAAGGCAGCATGAGCCAGTACTTCATTCCTTTTTATGACTGAACAATATTCCATTGTGTGTATCTATACCTCACATTTTACTTATTCATCAGCTGATAGACATTAAATTGCTTCTATTTTTGTCTGTTATGAACAATGCTGCCATGAATTTTCATGCACAAGTTTTGTGTGAACATGTTCTCGTGTCTGTTGGGTAGACACCCAGGAATGGGATTGCTGGGTCACAGGGTAGCGTTTTAACATTTGGAGGAACTGCCAAAGTATTTTCCAACCCCACCAGCAGTGTATGAGGGTTCCAATTTCCCTGCGACATTGAATATATTACCTTTATAACCACTACTTTAAAGTGGTATAACAACCCTCTCAAGTACCTTCAACAGCTCCCTAATGATTAGCTAGAAAGGTTCCAAATCCCACAGCGTGCCCTCCCAACAGCTATCCTACCGTTTGTGCTGTCGCCAGGGACACCTCTCACCCACCTCTGGGGGCAGGACCTGTTCCTACCCCCACACCGGTGTTCAAGCTGTGCCCCCAGTCCCCTATGCCTCCCCTTCTATCCGCCCATCTTCAGAGGGGCAAGGGAGGTAGGCCTGCCCTCCAAGGTGTCACAAGGGGGGGGCTCCTTACCAACCACAGAGAGCAGCAGCAGGACGCTGCAGATGACGATGGACACGATGATGGCGGTCTCACTGCCGCCCAGCTGTAGTGTGGCAATGGTCTGGTTGAAGTTTCCTACCTGGACCTGCACAAAGATAGGGGAAGGGGTTGTAGCTTCCCTGGACTTGTGCCTCGGGCCTTCTCCTAACTAGCTATGTGGCCTGGGGCAAGTCGCCTGACACAGAGATGACCACACCCACCGCCAGGGGATGCTTGAGGACTAAATGAGAGAATGCTTGTCGTGCTTTTAGTCCTGGGACTGGCACAGAGGAGAAACTCAGTAGGGTTTTTATTAAGCCTGGGAGGCATGGCAGAGGAGAAACGCTGTTCACAGGGCGTGGCTGCTGTCCCCAGGTAGCTGTAGGATTGTCCTGGGAACAGGAGGCGTCTGAGGGCTCCAAGGGCAGAATTGGGACTGAGATGCAGACGAAAGGGAGCTTTCCCAGTCAGAGCTGTCTGTAAGGAAATGAGCTCCCCAGCCCAGGAGGCATGCAAGCAGGTGCAGTGCAGAAAAGATCCCGCTTTCTGGGCCCTCGCTCTACTCCTCTTGCTTCCCTGCCCTCCATGATCCTGTGTGATGACTGGCAGCCCAGACTCTGGGGAGAGCACCTAGAACGGGCAATTTCTTATGGCCTTCCAGAGTCCAGCCCCATCAGACCTATCACTGACCTTGAGCAGGTCCCTCAGTTCTTGGCCCTGTTTCCTCATCTGTCAAGTGGGGACGTAGAGCTCTGCTTTGCTCTGCCTGCTCAGTTCCAAGGTGCTGAGCCAGGGACAGGCACCTGGGCAGATGGGGCTGGGAGCCATGTCCACCTCTGCCTCCAGTGCCCCATCCACTCACCGTGATGGGCAGCTGCCCCTCGGCTGTGCCCAGGGACTCGTTGACCGAGCAGTGGATGACTCTCTCCGAGACGATCTGGATGTCGCAGGCCACTTGGCCGATCTTGACCCGGTACTCGTGGCTCTCCAGCCCCAGGCTGTCCTGCTCTTTCTGTGGGAGAGGAGGGGCATGCTCACCCAGGTCCATGGCTGAGCCCAGCCCATTCGCTGCCCCCGCCCGGCACCCGCTGCACTCACATGGATGACTAGGGTGAGGGGCTCCCCAGGGTGGTGTTTGATCCACTTCTCCCTCTTGGCCGTGGAGAACTGAGGGTCAGGGAGGTAGTCCAGGCGGAACCTGCTGCCCCGCTGGGCCTCCTCGGAGTCCAGCAGCTCCTCGGCCACTGCCACCTCGTCGGTGTAGGCCCGCCCGTTGATGAAGAAATCCACTGGTGCCGACGCGTTGCTCAGGGCCCCCGGGGAAGGGCAGGTGATGA